GGTTTCGCCTAACAACTCTAGATGGGTCTCATACATTTGCACGAGAATCAAGAAAAAATTATTCATAGAGAACTGGTAAGAATTATATTATTGAATATTTAATAAATATATTACCTTTTCAAATTGATTATACCGAGCTCCATTTGGCAGATTTTATGGAGCTTTATTATTTATAGATTTACATTCCGATAGGTCATTTTACGCATAAATTCCCAGTATAAATTCTTTTTACTACAAAATCTATAAATATGAATTCTATACACCAAAAAATTATGTTATATTTTAAACCTTGTTGAATTTCAAATTAATAATGAGATTTATGCAATAACAAGGATTACGATCAGAAAAATTTGAAAAGAACTAACATGTTCAATATTGCCTATTTTTTTTTTTTTTTACAGCATCCGAAGAATATATTAGTACATAATGGGACAATGATGATAGCTGATTTTGGTATTTATAAAGAATTAAAAAACCAAATGACGACTACAAAAGGTGATACAGATCCTGGTATACTTGTTTACATGGATCCGAAATTCCTTGCCGATCATAAGTACCAGTGTGATGAAAAATCTGACGTCTACAGTTTTGGAGTTCTTCTCTGGGAAATTTCAAGCGGCCGACCGCCTTTTGCATCCTGTACAGATAGGGATGAAGTGATATACAAAATTTTTAAAGGAGAAAGAGAGAAACCAGTAGAAGGTGCACTAGAAGAATATGTTGAATTGTACACACGTTGTTGGGATGAGGAACCTGAAAGGCGGCCTAATATCCAAGAGGCATTTGAAATTCTGTGGCATCTAATTTCAAAAGGAAAAAAGTGTGAACTGGAAACTCGAGCAATATTATCACTTTATGAAACTTCAACAACTTCTGATGAATCTAAAACTGATTCACAAGAACCTAAAGAACATTTAATAAAAAAGGAAAAGTTTGACCTTATTTCTAAATGGATTGATCAGTCATTCCAAAAATCTAAATTTAATAATTTGCCAACAAATTCCTGCGATTATGAATTTAAACTGCTGCTTAAAGGTAGCCGTGATGGATTTACCCCGGCCGCCTTCCATAAAAAATGTGATAACCAAGGACCTACTTTAACAATCTTGAAGGTTAAGGATGAGAATGAAATTTTGGGTGGATACAATCCATTTAGTTGGGAATCACCAATTGAAGAAAAATACTATTACACAAATAAAAGTTTTCTTTTTAAATTTTTTGATAACTCAGATAAATTTGTACTTAGTAGAGCAAAGAACCATGAATCAATTAAATCATCAATATCTTATGGACCATATTTTCGAAGCGATTTACAGATGGTGAACAATTTTGATGATAACGGGTGTTCTTGTTATCCTTGGTATTACGATGGGTCAATTAGAGAATCGGAAGCTTGTTTTTCGGTAGATGAATATGAGGTTTTCAAGGTCATAAAAAAAGAAAAGGTGAAATCTGGTGAGTTAATAAAAGAAACCAATTTTCTTTCGAAAACCCATTAGAAAAACCGATAAAATTGATCCATATTTTTCAGTAGAAGAATACAATGTTTTCCAAGATTTAGAAAAGGCAAGTACAGAAATGAATGAATCACATCAACCTGATTCGAGTTCAGAATATACGCAACAACCAAATGCGGCATCAAACATAAAGGTCATTAATGATAACCCATTGGTGAAATTATGTAAGTATTGTAATAATTTAATTTTACATTATACTGATCAATATCAATATTAACGTCGTAGATATTTTTAAATTAGCATCTGAATATTCAGAAAAGTTAGAAAAATATTTTATAAAATATAACATAAAATGCTACGATTATTGTCAGTTTAGTGATCTCATACTTATAGGGAGCGGGAGATTTGCTATGGTATATTCAGCGACTTTTCAAAAAACAATGTACGCATTAAAAAGTCTAAACAAAAACCTGTTATTGGATGAAAAAGCATCTCAAACATTAGCCCTTGAGGTAATTTATTTTCATTATTTTGTGTTCTAGCCAAAAGCTAATAAACTCTATCATAATGAATGAAATAATTGCTGTAGTTTAAAAATCTTTATAAAGCTGATCATGTTAATGTTATCAAATTTCATGGAATTTCAAGAGGTATAGCACTTAATCAGTATTTAATAAAAAATATAATTTATTTGCTTATCTATATTAATGATATTTAGATTTAAAAACTGGTAATTTCATGTTGGTATTGCAATATGCAAATGGTGGGAATTTACGAGAACATTTACGGACGAAACAAAATGATGGTTTTTATAAAATATCGTGGACTGAACTCATTCAAATTGCAAATGATATTGTAAATGGACTGAAATATTTACATTTAAATGGAATTATTCATCGAGATTTGGTAAACTATAAAAATTTTTTTTTTTTTCTAATTTTACATTTTAAGTAAATTAAATAGCCCGTTGTAAAACTTTTTAGCATTCTAAGAATATTCTGATAAATGATGGGCAAGCCTTGATTTCGGATTTTGGTATATCTAAACAACTTACCAGCATTAGGTCATCAAGTTCGAATTTGCATGAAATGCTAGTATACATTGATCCACAATATCTCCTAAATGAAGAAGACTTTAAACAAAATGAACAATCAGACATTTATAGTTTAGGTGTATTGCTTTGGGAACTCACAAGCGGAATTTCACCATTTTATAATTTATCATTTATGGATAAAATGTTAAAAATCGCAGAACACGATAGAGAGAAAATAATCGCAAATACACCTCAAGATTACGCTAATCTCTACACAAAATGTTGGTCTTCTGATCCAGATCAGCGCCCAACACTAACTCAAATTTTAGCAGTATTCGAAAAATTATTAGCAGAAACTTCTACCATGATTAATCAAATCACCATTATTAATCAAATTATTGAAGCCGATGATATTGAAAATAATGAAAATAATGAAGAAGAATATCATGGTTAGTATTTATTTTAACATCATTATGTACATCGCATTACTAACGCACCTTGGAATTTGTACAGTCAATGAAGCCCAGCAAAGTCTTCTAGATACAAATTTAAAAGAGGTTAAAGAAATCCTACATGGATACACTTTTTGTGGTAATGAAAGTGAAGAAGAAGAAACTTTAACATTAAATCAGGGTATTTTTAGAACCCAACCTGTCAGCCAACCTAACTTTATCGGACCTACTAACCTCACCAACCTTTCTAATCGTGCCATGAATTCTAATCGTACCGAGAATTCTAACCAGGACGGTTTTACATCTTTATTTATCGGATCTTCATTTCAACACTAATTATTTATTCTTCGTGGAAGTAGAGATGGGTTCACCGTTGATTCATTTTGGGTTTGTGTGATAAGAAAAAGGATATTATTGCAATCATAAAGTTAAAAACACTGATGAAATTCTTGGTGGATACAATCCTATTGGATGGGGATAAATTTGAACTTGGTGATAAACGTTGTTTTATTTTTTTCGTTGAAGAATGTTCAAAATTTTATTTTAAGCCATCTAAAAAATAAAATAAAATAACCCAGAAAATACTATTTGTAATTATTCTGAAAGTGAATCATTGTTTTATCGAGATCTTATGACTTTTAATTCTGAAAATACTAGTTTTTATCAACATAATAATTATGAAAAACCAATTAGAAGTGCATCAGTGGATATCTTATTTTTCATTTGGGAATATGAAATATTCAAATTTATAAAAAATATTTTTCTTAAGCTATAAATTTTAAAATTTAATTTATTAATATGACGAATATATATTTTCAATGTCGGTTTAAAATTTTTAAATAAAAAAGTAAAAAAAAATAAAAAATAAAAAGATAAAATTAAAAAAAAACATAAAAAAAAAATTAAAAAAAAAAAAAAATAATAATAATAATAATAATAATTTTTTTTAATTTTAAAAGATGAGGCCTTGCT